GGATATCTAGGCATATTGGTTGTCTTTTCTCTTTTTGTTTTGGTTTGGTTTTCAGGTCCTGGAGGAGGAAAAGTCATTTTTTTATACCTCTTTTTTTTTTTTTTTTTTTTTTTTTTTTTTTTTTTGTTTGTGTCATCTGAGCAGGCTGTTTACTGTGTCCCAAATAGTGACTTATTGACAACACTGAGGGCATTGACAATTTTTCCATTTGGTATAGTATTTTATCCATTTTCTTTTAGCCTCTTCTTCTAACGTTTTTGCCTGTGCTATGGGATCTTCATATAGCTTCCTGATATCCTCTTGTATCCACTGAATGACTGGATTATCCGTTACTATATATTCTTTACCATGGAATATTCTTCTTCCTTCAGTAGTGAATATAAAAGCGCGTAGAAAGTCTCCAAACTTTCCTGACTTATTACAATACTCTCTGTATAATTTCTCGTGTTTTTTCCAATAGTACTGTTGCTTCTGGTATACATAATTATGATATTCGATGGTGTTTTCTTTGTGCTTTTTCTTGAGCGGGTTAAGTATTGTTGATAGTTCCATTATTGACCATTAAGTAGACAAAGAATTTCTCTCTCAATTGGTATCTCAATAGATTTTCCAATCTGGTTAGGTCTCCACCAGACTCGGGGGCCATTCTTCTTATAGGAAATTTTTACTCCGTGTTTTAACATAAAGCCGGTACCCAATATGGCTACTATGTGTCGTACTGGTATAACTACAAACGTTTCTTGCACTGTTCTGTTCGTGATATGTACTGATAAAGTTATCTCTCCATCCACATCTGTAGGTATGCCTCTTATACCTACAAACTTCTCTGTATTTTTTCTAATTCGTTCTTTCCATCCGTTGAGCTGTACTATATGACTCGCAATAACATTGATTTCTGCACCGGTATCGAGGATTACTTTTCGTTCTATGTTGCCTATTTCTGCCAAAATTTCTAAGACTGTTCCCGAGTGACCTTTGTCATCCTCGTATATTTTCCTCATGCCAAATAAGTGATATCTTGCACTAAGCAATTCTTCTTTTTCAGATGAGGGGTTTAATTCATCCTGTCTTCCTATACCCTCCGTAGGAAAGGATATTAGTTTTTTGGCAACCTCTTCTGTGGACAATTTTTCTCATGTCCTTTCTCTTTTTTGCAATTTTTGCACGCGTTGTTACAATTTCTGGCCATATGTCCTTCTAATCCACACCTATAGCATTTGAACGGCTTGTTTGATTGATCCTTTTTCGGGTATTTATTGGGCTGATATTTCGGATGTTCATTCTGAGTAACATATACTACTTTTTCTTCGGCTGGTTTAATTAACTTTGTTTCCACGGCTGCTAATTTCTTAGCCAGTGATTCTAGTGTTTCGACTACTGTCACGTTAAGAGCTGGTTTTTCCATTTGTGTCCTCATATTCCATACTACTTCCGCGTTCTGCGCTTTTTCGATTGCATCTTTTAGGTCACTGGGCTGACCATTTTGCAATATAGCTATTTGCATTTCCGCTGGTAGTCCTTCTAACAATATGTGGACCAGTTCATATTCAGATGGCTGTATCCCAAGGCTTTTATGTAGTCGACGAATTCTGCTAACAAATGCGTCTACTGTTTCGCTCGGATTAAGCGTGAGATTTTTCAATTGCTGTCGCATTTTTCGTTGGAGAAGTGGCGTCATAAATTTCTCCAAAAATTGTCTTTTGAAAGAAGATCCTTCCAGCACGTTATCCGTCTTATCATCCCAATTAGTAATCTGTTCGCCGAACGCATTAGTTCCAGTTTGTTTTTCCAACCAATCTTTCATTTGCCCTTGAAATACTCCAAGAAGAATGTCTTTCTTTTGATCGAACGTCTTTACACCATTGAAGCGGAATCGGGCGTCCAATAGTTCAAGATAGGCTAATGGGTCATCTCTACCAGGCACAAATGGTATTTGATATTCGTCGATTCTCCGGTTAGGTGCATGGATATTCTCGAAAGCGTCTTTAACGGCACCAAGAATTTTTGTCAAATCTTCAGCGTCCATCTGAGGCTTCTGAACGATTTCTTTAGGTAGCTTTACCGGTTGGATAATAGGAGTTAATGTTTCGATTTTTTGAGTATTTGAAGATCCGATTTCTTGATCAATTAATAATACGATCTTTTCAGAACTATCTTCTTTTTCTTCAGAAGAATTTGTCCCTTCGACGTCCTCATCAAGTGGGGGGAAGGGTGTATTTATCTGTTTTTCTTCCAGCGGAGAAAGTAGCTCATCAACCCATCTCAATAATTGCTGCCACTGTTGGCCTTGGAGTGGAATTTTTAGCCAATCTAAACAATTCAGTATTGGTTGTATTTGTAACGCTTGATTTTTAGTCAATTCCTTGATCGGTATTGATTCAAAATATTCGAGGTCTTGCTGTATCCGGAAAGCGCAATCGTTCGTCTCATTAATCGTGAATCTTTTGTTTCCATGATTGGTTATTATCAGAGTGATCTTTAGACTACTAATTCTGTATAGCATTCGTTTCATTTGGACGTGTCGTTGTATACGAGATATTACGTTACGTCCCCTAGTATACGTAATATGTTTATTGGCCCCAAGTGCTACTTGTGCTTGCCTAATTATTTGGTCATACGAGTTTAGGCATTTTTCGAGAGTTCCATACAGTTGCAATTGTCGTAATAATGCGTTAATTTTTCTAGCCTGTTTTGGTCCCATAAATCGAGGAGCTAATGCAGTGATGATTTTCTGCTTTTCATCGGCTCGAAACGTTTCAGCACTAATTACTCCATACCATAGATACCAAATTCGGATAATAATCATATTCCGTCCCATCGATAGCCAATATTGTGTACATCGATTTTGTACAACGTTTCTCCGATTTTGCTGCAATTTTCTGACTGTTCGCTCTTTTTCGTGTAACTCTTCAGGCGACATTTGATGGTATCGTAGCAACAATTGGAATCTAGCATCGGCTGACCTCACTGCCTCACTAAAAGGGTTGGTAATGCCTGTTACTAGTGTATTTCTAGAGGATTCTCCGAAATATTCCTGTTCAGCTTCTTCTCTAATTGTTGGCCTTTGCCCAGAAAATGGAGATGTTGGTTCGGAAGTCGTTAATGGTGGTGGAGTAATGTTTCTTTTCTTAGGTCGGTATTTTGTCTTAAGATGCTGCGGATTTTTCTGACATACTCGCTCAATCGCATCAGTATACATCTCGGTCTTTTTGTCTCTCGAAATTGTAGGTAAATATTCGCTTTTGAAATTAGGGTAGGGTTGTTTGTGTTGTAAGGCGTATAGTGTAACATCTACCGCCGTTACCCAATTCGTTGGATATTGGATAAATCCGCACAGAATTAATAATCGATATGCCTTTGTGCGCCTATTAGTAAGATCATCGTTCCAATCAATTCCATCCAGATATGTCACAGCATTCTGCGTTACGTTTAATTTAAGCATCTTAGCGGGTATTTTAAACCATCTGAAATTCTCTGATTGCTGAAGTAGTCTTTTTGATGTTACTGGATAACAATGAGCGCATGCCCAGTTATTATGATACTCTTGCTTAGAGGCGTGGTTGTCTAGTATCTCGTGATAAATTCGGTGCATTTCCTGATATTCTTGCCATTCTTCCATTGTCCATTCTTTTCCATTTGCGTCAACGGGGTTTGCATTTTCATTAACCGTAATGGCTATTTCTGTCGTGGAGGAGTCTGTCATTTCCGTACTCTGCCGGGCGACTACGATTCTTTTTGCCTACTCTTTATATACTTTCCCAAGGTATATCTTCAATACGCCCTACGCTATAGCTGGCGTACCGGTTTTCTAAAAACTCTTTCCCGGCAGAGCCCCCATTTTTGTCACCGGTTTTCTTCGCGAGGCGGCTGCGTCCCCTCACCGTGACAATAGGGCTCTGTAATGTCGATGCTTAGTG